GTGTGCCTTGGCAGTTTTGGAGAGCCAGAAAAACTGTGAAACAGTACCCGTTATCCGGAACTACCCCTAATGGAAACGCAACAAAAAACGGGCCGGGTTTGGCACGGCACGCTTCAACCGTGCTACGCGCTGCAGTGGAAATGCGCCATTAGTCTCTAAAGCTTTTGTCTCTAATACCTAACCCCTAGAACCTTCCAATATTTACATAGTACTTACTGTAATACTGTTGTGTTTGTGAACAAGGCCCTTTTTACTGTCACTCAAACATTTTCTAGGTCATTTAAAATGCTGATACCAATATATATCTGTATCCGTATTACCATGTTCTTGAAATGATAGACACAAAATAAATGCATATTTCCAGTCATACACTAGGTTTTGTAAGAACAAACCCGCAATATTCAAATCCGATTGACATCTGATTTTCTAAGAAATGTGAGTTAGTATGTGTAGTTATTATGAATTCAGACCATGTCATTTGGCATACAGAACAAAATATATGATTTCACTCCAACATACTTAATAGAAAATTGATAAATAACTATATTTAATATTATGTGGATTTACCCAACAAACCCTGTGATAACCGTCCTACTTTTAATAATTGCTCTTATGCAAGCCAGCTGATCTGCTCACATCATGTTCTACTTGTTGACCTTCCCTGAGCCCACCATGTTGTCAGTCAATTGAGCCTATTTTTGGCACACGTTCACATGTATCACAAATCCCTGTCTCAGACATCCGATTGTGCTGGAGCGTTCTGGATTTCACCGCAGCATCGGCTCTATAACTGGCTGGGAACCAGTTGTGGCTCAGTGTCATGAAAACATATGAGTCACCTCCGTGTGAAGGCAGATACTCAAACCAACTGAACTTAATATTTGTGGATCACTGTGTATGCTTGTATTGACAGTTTGGGAAAGCCCTCTGAGACCGTTTCATTGGTTTGCCCCACCCTCCTGTAATATTTCTCTCCGGTTTGCTATCTGCAATACATGTTATATCTTGAATATCAAAGATTTAAAACAACTGTGCTGAATGCCATTATAATTGAAGCTCAACTAAAATACAAAAGTCAACAACATGTGCCTAGTCAACTGACTGCTGGGAGTTTCAACATCTAGACCTGCCAGTAGTCACTAACTGCAGACAGTGTGTTTCATAATCTCATATGTTATGCAGATTAAATAGTTTACAGACTAGACATGTTGTGGGGTCAGTCTGAGTTCTCGTGTTTTTCTGTTTGTCACAGTGACCCATTAGAGCGAGGACATGGTACTTTAGCAGCATTAACAGCCTTAAGTCGACTGGTAGCTTCTTCTGAGGCTAACGTTTTTTGGACAAGCTTTCTGTGTAGGCCCTATATTGATTTGGTTAGGGAAGATGCTTGCTGGAGCTTGTTAGCATTCTGCTTATTGAAAAGCCACATTATACCATACCGAAGAAAGCTTATATTGAGAACATGTTTGTGTTGTTGTGTGTGTGTTGTTGACTCAGTTCACACTGCTACTGAAAGTGTGCCTTGTGATTTTAAAACACCAAGGGGGCTGTTGCTTCATATGTAAACCAACACATCATTATCCCTGCTGTGTTGTGAAACCTCTGTTTGTGAAACACACTTCTTTTACCTTGCTTCAAACGCAAAATTGGACAGGACAGAATTGCATGCGAGTTGACAGTTTCATGTGATTTACCAGGTTTTATTTTGGCCTCTGGGCTCTCTTTTCCATATTTGCTTTGCATTGACGAGCAAGAACAAAAAGCCGCCAGTGTGAAAAAGCCAGCACACAAACAGCTTATCAAGCATGTGCAGTGTCCTGTGTGTGTGGACGATAACAGGAACTGGGTTTGAGCAGAAACTAGTGGAAAACTGTGGACTTTTTGATCCTGTCATCTAAAAATAATGTGGGTGTGCTTTCCCTTTCTTTGTAAAACAACAATAACAATAACGTTTATTTACGTAGCCCACTGATTTGCACAGCACATCACTGTACCTTTTCTGTTTCATTAACATTAACAGCACCGTATACAAGTAGGTGTAGGGCTTTCCCTGTGAACAGTCAGTGCAGTGAAGGCAACCCTAGAGCTGTTAGATCAGCATATCGTGGGGAATTGATGTAATTGCCATCACTCCAGGGCGGCAACCGGAAGCGGATATTTTTGTAAGTAAAGTAAAGATACACTCTTGTTTTCCAGATCTAGTTTCTTGAATTGCCCAAACAGTGCTTGCTGGTGCTTTTAATAGGCGCAGACTGGTTCGGTCATCATTCTTTGAATTTGACATGTGTCCTCCCCCCCTACATTGCCCATCAACTATAATAAGATGGGGAATGGCTGGCAGCCCAAGCTTGCAAGAAGAAGGCAAAACAAAGACCACCATAGATTCGATACAGAATACTTGAATATATGTAACTCTTAAAGTTGTTTATGTGTCATCTGGTGACATGACCTCTTGTTATCTATTCCTAAGCAAACAGTCATACCTTGGATGTGTTGTCGCTTCGCCAAAGTCACGTTGAGTTTATTTTGTATGCCCGTTGTTCTGTGATGTATTCTTTCAGGCAGATTTAGTGACAGATATAGGCGCATTATCTTCTCTAGGTTTGTATTTAAAATGTCCCAATTAGTGTCTGTACGGATTGCCCAAAGTAAGGGGGGTTCGGTTTGAAGGCCTCGGAGCACAATCAAAGTTTCTCTGCAGTATTTGGTTGTGGTGCGTAGTTATGAGTGGTGAGTCATCCTGGTATTGAGGTGCATCCTTTAATTGGCTTCAGAGGGTGCTGCAAGCTGCAACAACAGGTCTGTCTCTTTACATAACCTTCCTTGAGCACAGAGGTATGCAAACTGGAAAGGGCAGATCCATTGCACACACCCCTCCCATCCCACACGTACAGTAAGTGACTCCCACACACAAACACCCTGTCGCTTCTTATCGCCCCACCGGCTTTGAGGCAAGGGCTCCCTGACCCCCGCACAGTGTATGTGTGTGTGCGCGCGTATGTGCATGTTATGTAGAGGCTGGGACAGAGCGGCAGGCAGGCAGAGCTGAGATTGTGCGACCAGATCTGGAATGGGAGAGAGAGTCACAGTAGCAGCTGCTCCCTTGCATTAAGAGGCTCTCACTCTGACAGAGGACAATCACAGGGACACAGAGGACTTCCACTGCGGCCACGGCCTTTTGCTCACAGAGTGATTTGTACACAGTCAAGAGGATACCGCCGGATTCACTCTTGTGTTTGTGTATGTCTTCCCCATCCTGTCCGGAGCGAGGATGAGGATGAGGGAGCTCTCTCTGCGTCAGGATCCTGACCTGAGGAAGGAGTTGGCCCTTCTGGCACGCGGCTGTGACTTTGTTCTGCCCTCTCGATTCAAGAAGAGGCTCAGAGCCTTCCAACAAGGACAGGCAGGTGTTTGTATGAGTGTACCCTCGCCCACACAGGCTCCTCTGGCCTGTCAGCCAGTGGGCAGGTCTTTAAATGTGGAGTAGAATTTGTGGGTTTGATGTTTTGGTATTCAGCTGGCCTTTGTGGAAATGTGCTATTCAACATGCCGCTGTCATTGTGCCTATTCCTCACTGTTGGCTATTATTCTTTGCAAAGTGGAACTATATGTGTTGTTGGAACCAGCAGCACACCTCGGACAAGTGAGGACAAATCATTTGTATCCCTTTCTCCAGGCAGCATTATTCAAATAGCTTCCACACACTGCTATGTCATATGACAATGTGATTTTTATATTTATGATAAGTTGTGGGGGGCATTTTAAAAAGTGAATGATGTAAGCTATGGTTATTAGATGATGTTTTCATCTTGTGTGGTATGTTGTGCTCAGCTGCTTTACTCTCCTCTTACAGACCACATCATTGTGAATGTGCAAAATGTCATGGGGCTTAGCGGATGTGCTCAAGAGCTCTGCTAGTGGTTAGCATGGAGCGAGAGAGAGATAGAGGGGACGCTGCTGGGCAGGGCCACGGGAGATGTTTATGTCCTTTTATAGCCATGGCTGACGCCAACACACAGGACAGAGACGAGGATCAGCCGCATTTATCGTTTATCCGATGGAAATGAGCAGATTACAGCTGGCAGAACACAGCAAAACTATTTAGATCAGTATTGACATGTATATCATGTAGAAAACGGATATGGATAGATTTAGCCCTCTTATGTTCTGCTCTATAGTTCTAAGGCTTTAATGATGGCGTTTTGGGCTTTGTCCATTTCTAGCCAGAGTTGAGAACGAGTGGTAGAACATGTCAGAGAAAAACAAGATGATAATTTGTGTTGTCTCTTAGCCTGCGTGGGTCTGTCATGTGATAATGAAAGGTCATGGAGGCCAGGTAGCAAATTCCTGACTCATGTAAGGTCTTTGGGTACGAGATGATGAGAGTGAAGCATTCTCTGCTCAAGCTGTTTTTAGTAAGTGGCTAATATGTGCACATAACACACTTTGGACCAAATGCATCCTGGCTTTTTATAGGTGTACCCTCACTGGTGAATGCCCTCTACAGCAGTGGGTCCCAACACGGGAGGCAGGGCCCGCAGTGGGGGTCGCCAAACCTAATTTTGGAAAATGTATATAAAAATAAACGTTTTAATCTCACAGGTTAAAGTATGCAGATAAAACAGCCAACAAGCTAGCGGGCCAATGGCCAAGCCTCAGTGATAAGAAAACAGAATTTATCAAAAAAATTGTCAGAAAAAGAATGATGATAAACCAGATTTAAAAGACTGCCATTAAACTTTTTTGTATCAATGGATGTGATCTCTTCACAGTATCTCAGTTGGTGCAGTAAATCATACTGGTTTGAAACAAAATGATCATCACATAAAGAGCTTGCATTATGTCATTCCCATTAGACATACAAGGATAGACTGGTTTCCAGCATGATTGTACAGCTCAATAGCATATTCTGCTAAAGCCTCTCACAGATCTATCATTTGGGTCCCTGGCAGAAGAGGCACACACAGATGGTTCCAAGCTCTGACATATTTGAAGGTTTTAAAGATTTGTTACTGTACCTCTACAGTCCACACACACACACACACACACACACACACACACACACACACACACACACACACACACACACACACACACACACACACTTATAACATGGCAGCCCTGCTTCTATCTCCAGAGCTGGCATTAAAACCTCTGTTTGCCTTTAATCAAGAACTCTGTGTAAACCCAGCCAAAGTGTACACATCATGCCATTGCATTGCATCTAGTTATTTATCAGGACTGTCCATTAAATAAAAATAATATTATACTTATTAGACATCCAGTCACTATTTTTAAAGCACATCAGTTCTGAATAGATTTACACAAATTATAAATAAAATTCAAGCAACTGTCAATAACATGTTGAAACATGAGTAACTCAAAATATGTGGTTGCCTTGTGTTAACTTATTTTGTTTTATAGAGATACCCTTTTGTTCAAAAGAATCTATTTTGATGACCAAAATATACTTCTTAATTAAACGTTATTGCGATGCCACAGATGTGATCACCTTGTAGTGATGACCGGTGACTAACGGTCAACTTCAACTAAGACACCAAAACAAAAGCTGAATTAGTTGACTCAACTAAGAAGGGTCAGCTTGTGCATATCAAATGAAAATGGAACGGTACATCTGTCATTAGATTAACACATTTAGATGTTATTTATAGATCAAGTCCTCAGCCGTATCTAGAATTATGTGGGGGTGTATATAGAGGATTCAAATACCTGACTCTCTTCAATTATTGTCAACCAAGGGGTTTACGCTTCAGTCTATTATCAGTCAAGCCGTTTAACACTTATTAGTGTCACTTCTTAATTTAAAATGTATTATTGAGTTACAATCTTTTAAAGGGTTTAGTCTAACGCAGGCATGTATTACAGATAAATGGTTCATTACTATAACCACTAGCTGCTCTTCCCTGATGGGGCTGATGAGAGGTGTGTTAGTGCTGGCAGTGTAAAGGTTTCATCAAGGTGAGCCTTAGCACATGCTGGAATGCTTGATCTGAGAGCAGTTAGCCTGTGCTAGCATCAGTTGCTAATCGTATTTTTTCCCTGTGTGTTTGTCTCAGGCCCAGGTGAGGACGGAGAAGCCCGTCCCCACAGCGCTGAGTGAAAGCATTCCAAAGTTTTACTTCCCAAAGGGACGGCCGCAAGCCAACATCAACATCGACACCCTCATTACCAAAATTGAGAAAACATTTTCCCAATTCCCAAATGAAAGGGCCACCATTGAGGACATGGGGCAGGTCGCCAAGGTGAGAATGTGAAGCATTGAGGTGAAGCTGCCACCCAGGAAATGATTTCCATTAGTGCCATTTACAAATGTTTGCTGATTTTCAAACCTCTTCCGAAAATATTATCCATGTCTCCCTGAGGAATGTGAGCAATGGCCCTGAGGGGAACCTGAGTGAAGAGATAAATGACAGCTAGGTTTCCTGAGGGTCTTTAAGTGCTGCAACACTACCGCCAGCCCACCCTACAGAGTCATTGTGCTGTTCTATTCCGCATTAAAACCACATGTGTAAAGGAAATGCAGTGTTTTTCCCATCTCTCCTCTCTATAGCCACTCCACACACTGTATCTGATCTGCTTACTTGTCTCCCCAGGCCTGTGAGTGTCCTTTCTACTGGAAAATGCCATTGTTCTGCTTGGCTGGAGGCGACAGGACCGGCTTCGTGTCCGTTCACAAGTTCGTGGCTATGTGGAGAAAGTAAGACAATGGCTCTTCTTATTCTCACTGGACCACTGGTACTCCCAGCCAAACAGCTCGTACAATCTCCTCGAAACAAAGATGACCGCTCACTGAAATGACAGACGTGGTCATGCAGCTCTCTGACATCTACTTTCATTTCTAAACAGATATCATTGATTACAAAGGCCTCGTAAACAAAATGAAAAATGAAAACATCTATTCAGTGTCTTTCTGTGTGAAATTGTAAAGGGTACCATAGGGCTTTTGTAATGGCATCTGTGCTCTTAGTTGAATGCTGTTGTGTGCAATAGGCGTGCTCTTGTAGTAATATGCGAGCCTAGAGGGCTGATAGACCTGGCCTTTGACTTGAGCTCATGACTGAGCCATTCTTAGATGAGAGGCCACAGGCAACACTTGACGCTTATAATCACCAGGCAGCGATTCAGAATCCTAATTTCAGAATGTATTATACCTGCGCTAGCACTTTTGGGGGGAAACATTTCAATCATGTGCTCTTGAAAGAATGATAAAAAAGAATAGAGCGAACATAAGAGTGAAAGAGGGGAGTAGCCTTGCAACCATCTGTTCTCTCTTTTCTCCTCCAGGACTCTGCAGACCTGTCACGACGACGCTACTAAATTTGTGCACCTCTTGGCCAAGCCTTGCTGTAATTACCTGGAACAAGACGACTTTATTCCATTCCTGCAGGTACTGGCGGGAGCTCACCCAGGTGGAGGGCTGGACTTGGCAGTGCTGGGTGGCATAACTGGATTTGCGTGGGTGGTGGGAACTGGACTTCATTTCAGACCTGTCCTGATGAAGTAGTGCTTTTTCATGCGGCGGATAACTAATTCAGGGAAGCTACTGTAGGTCAGTGGAGGGGGAGATACTGAAAGAAGACCCCATCAGTGTAGGATTCAAGCTCAGCAGAAAAGAACCAAAGAGGGATGGACATGGTTCTTATTTAAAAGGTCCCCTATTATACTGTTTTCCATCCATATATTATAGGTCTCAGATATGTACCAAACATGTCTCTGAAGTGTTTGGCTCCAAACACCAAACAGATCATTGCAGCATTACCCATAATCCCCTCTGTTTCAGCCCTGTTTCAAAAGTGCTGATTCTCTGTCTGTTACTTTAGATGAAAATAAGGAGCCCCTCCCCACGCCCCTCTGAGAGACATTTGGTTAAAAGAACACAATGGTGCTCTAGGAGGAGATTCAGGTGATAAGGTGTGTGTGTGGGTGGGGGGGGTTACCTTGGCTAATGGTTGCATAAGCCAAAAAATTGTTATGACATCATAAAGTGGACAAAATCTGATCAGCTCATTTTCAGACAGGTTTTTATATAAATGGATCAGGACAAAAAGAGATTAAGTCTTTTTTCCTGAAACTTTCAGAATCTCTTTACACAGAGGGGACACATGTTTATGTATAACAGACATGAAAAAGTGCATTTTGCATAATAGGTGACCTGTAAAACAAATTAAAGCAACAAAAAAAATCCTAGAAATGACATAGATTTATCAAATGTATTTCTAAGAATAGTCTAATTGACTGTTGGTCGGCCTTACCATGTGAACCTGCTGTGCTGGCTGTTTGTCTTCTCATTCCCCCTGACAAGCTGTTGGTGCTCCACACCAGCCCCACCCGACACCTGATTCATTTTCATGCTGGCAGGGGGGGGGGGGGCTGACTGAACAGCCGTTAGCATACCAGCAGAGATGCCTTGTGGCACACGCCGTTTAATTTGTAACCCTCCGCCCGGCGAATGGCCTGTGACTGTTTTGATGAATGAAAGGCGGATTGCAGTGGAGTAGATTTGACTGTTTCCTGTGCGCTGTGATTTATGTGTTTCTCTATGATTTAATTTCTCACACTAAGAGTCAAAGAGGCACGACGGCTGCCCTGAAATAAGGCCTTTTAATTTCATTGCCGCCTTCGCATTTATGTCAAGAATTCTTTCCCCCAGCAGAGTAAATGGAAGGGGGGTAGAATAAAAAAAAAAGACGTGGGGGAGTTTCATGGGAAAAAAATATAGCTACAGTTTATTTGAAATGCAGCACACCCCCTGTGACTTTATGGCATGAGGAAGGTGAAGAGCAGTCTCCAGAGAACGCTTTTCTTTGGCCTACTCATCGGTTTGCTGTCAGAGCCAAAAGACTTAAGCACATCCCAAAAGCGGTTGACCCGGTGTTTTCTGACTTCAAATAGTTATTTAAATGTGATGACCTCTTCCTACAAGGCCTGCAGCTTTTTCTTTACGTGGCAAAATGTATAAAGCATATGCGCTGAGTGATGTAGATGGACACTGACAACTTTGAATGTTTGAAGAAGCAGGCATTTAAAATTCTGAATGTCATGTGTTCTGAGCAACACAAAAGAAAGACACATGTGGTTTGCCATTTGACCCGTTTCTGAAAGTAACTGCAGATTTGGACTGAACTTGTGTATTTGTTTCTGTTGTAAGCACAGCATGTCATTGATTTGTTCTTTTGCACACGGTGTGTTAGTCTAGAGGGGTTTGTTATGGAGATGAGTCAGACGTGCAGGACAGACAGAGAGAGCTGACTTTACTCTATGGTTTTCAGGATGTGGTGAACACACACGCAGGCCTGGCCTTTCTGAAGGAGGCACCGGACTTTCACTCACGATACATCACAACGGTATGCTAACACAACTCGAATAACAGCACATTATTATTGTAAGATTGCAAAAATGCCTCAGAATGTTTTTTATGGTGAAATATTGAGTTGTTAACACAGTCAACGGTTTTTCAGGTGATTCAGAGGATATTCTACAATGTGAATCGTTCATGGACCGGAAAAATAACATGCTGTGAGCTCAGGAAAAGTAACTTACTTCAGGTACAAGACTACAAAACCAAACTAATGTTTTCTCTCTGGTACTAAAATCCTCTTTTTGTATGTCTGTTTGACCCAAAACATATTTAATAATATTTATTTTTAAACCATGATTAAATAAAAAAGGTGTAAAGGTAGCATTCAAGTTATTGATAAAAACAGTTATCTTCAAATTCACACGTTTTCATTGTGGTAATTATGTACGTTTTATTATAGAACAATTATTTTTGATTTTGTATATCTGGTATGATAACAATATTCTCACCAAAATGGTAGCCTAATCTGTTCTTGTTTTTATTTATTATTTAAACCAATTTATTTTCGGTAAAACTAAGGCTGTCTTTCTAGTTGCACCTGAAAACTACTTTGCGTGTGTGATTACCCCACGTGTAGAAGGTAATAAATGAACAACGCAGCCTGTCTGTAAACTATAATGGATATTTACAATAGACACATTGGTAAATTGTACCGGTATATTGACCATCTATAAAACAAAAACCTATCATTGAAACGTTGACTTTTCGTTTGTCCCAGAATCTGGCGCTGCTGGAGCAGGAGGACGACGTGAACCAGCTGACAGACTTCTTCTCTTATGAACATTTCTACGTTATCTACTGCAAGTTCTGGGAGTTGGACACCGACCACGACCTCTACATAGACCAGAAAGACCTGGCCCAGCACAATGACCAAGGTTCACCTCTCTTTAAAGGCTCCTATTCTACTCTCTTTAAACAATATAGTATAGGTCTCAACACACCAAACAGATCGTGCATTGTAGCATCCCATAAACCCCTCTGTTTCAGCCCTGTTTCAAAAGTGCTGATTCTGTGTCTGTAGCTTTAAATGCAAATGAACTGCCCCTCCCCTTATAGCTCTGCGAGGTGATTGGTTAAAAAGAACACAATGGTGCTCTAGGAGGAGATTCAGGTGATAAGGTGTTACCTTGGCTGGTGATTGGCTTATGGTTGCACAAGCCAAAAAAAACATTGTGACATCACAAAGTAGCCAAATCTGATCAGACAGGTTTTTATATAAATGGATCAGGACAAAAAGTGAGCGAATCTTTTTTCCTGAGACTTTCAGAATCTCTTTACACAGAAGAGACACATATTTATGTATAAAAGGCATGAACAAGTGGATTTTGCAAAATAGGGGACCTTTAAGAAGACGCGGCAGCCTAGTCTCAGTTGGTTTCAGATAAACTGTATGTCTGTACTCCCACACAGTTCAAACAACAAAGGTGCTGAGACCTTGTCAGAACACAGCTTTTCTCTCACTTTCCATGCATTTGTTGGCACTGTCAGAAGGTTAAACTTTCATGTACAAATAAAAAGCATTAGTGTTATTGTCTGGGTCTACTGCTCACACACAAACACACACTGTGAGAAATAGACTTCTCTTTGGTGCTTCTCCACCCACACACACACACACACACACACACACACACACACACACACACACACACACACACACACACACACACACACACACACACTGTGAGAAATAGACTTCTCTTTGGTGCTTCTCCACCCACACACACACACACACACACACACCACACACACACACTCCACACCACATGTTCTTAGTTGATGGTCTGTGAGTGAGGCAGGGGAAATGAGACACAAGATCAATAAGAGAACAGCATTTATACTCTGACTCGAATGACGCCATGTCTGGAACAATTTCTACGACTCCATGGCCAAACGATGACCAGAGGATTTATAGAGTTGTCAAGATAAAAAAAAAATAAGAGCTTAGACTAGCCACTCTGGATTTACAGTCTGTGAGAATGGATGACATGTGTTGTGAATAAGATGTACATTAACTGAGAGCGCTGTGAGTGAAAGGTTTTTATTTCCAACAGTCTGGGTTTTAAATGATCTCTTTGCTGTGTTTTTCCAGCCCTTTCCCAGAAGATGATTGAGAGGATATTCTCAGGGACAGTCACAAGGTACATGGAGATTTGAATGGGAGTTTAAAGAATGCCAATCAAGAGTTGTGAGCAAATCATTAAACATTTTGAAACAACTCTCTTTAGGTTTCATTGGTAACAGTTTGTTTTTATTTCCTTCAGAGACAGAAAGGTGTACAAGGAGGGGCGGCTGAGTTACGCTGATTTTGTCTGGTTCCTTATCTCTGAGGAGGACAAGAAGACCGACACCAGGTGTGTAGACCAAGGCTGTACAAGTTTAGAATTTAGAATTTGCTTTCATTTCATTTTCTGAGATTCCAAATTCTGGCTGAGATTCTGTAAGATTTAGTTTTACAGTAGGTGTTGTTTTTGTTATGGCCAGGATTAATGACACACATGTATGTCATTAAATATACATAGAAAACACATGCTTAAACATCTATTATAGGAATAGTCATAATGTTTGCATCTTTTAGATTTTCTCCCACAGGAAAATGAGCCCAGTTGGTTTAAATTATTAAATGGCATTTGATCTCCAATACTTCAATGATGTCCTTGTTTTTTTAATTGTACTAGACTCGACATAGACATTATTTATCAGGCATTAAACATTATACATTCAACAAGTGTCATCAAAACAGTCATCTGTCTGAATATGCTGAAAATAACTAGTGAGTGTACGTAGCCATTTTTTGTTGATCTTGAGGAACACTGTTCTAGGGATTAAGGTTCCACCTTTTTTCGCCCCAAAAAGGCACCTGTCTGTTATTGATATACATAATTGCTAAATAACTGAATCTTAAATCAATTGGGTCAATTATAAAAAAAATGAACCAGGTTGATATCATTCCAGTTATGTTTTTCTTATAGGAAATCATTTTTATTAAGTTTTAATTAACGACAATATTTTTCACTGCCTATTTTTGGTTTTGTTTCTGAACATACCCCTCATGAAGACTCACACCCACACTGATTGCATCTCTTGTTTCTTTAAAACCTTTCTGTCTTTTCTTACATGCACCTTTCTGCTTCTTTACCCCTCCCCCCCTCTCAGTATAGAGTACTGGTTCCGCTGTATGGACCTGGACGGCGACGGGGTGCTCAGCATGTACGAGCTGGAGTACTTCTACGAGGATCAGTGCCAGAAGCTGGAGACCATGGCCATCGAGCCCCTCCCCTTCGAGGACTGCCTCTGCCAAATGCTGGACCTCGTCAAGCCGGAAGTGGAAGGTCAGACCTTTTTCACGTTCATACCCAAGTTCACACACACTGAAAGTCAGACAGCGGGGAGAGAGGCAGACGCACGCACACATTGATCCTGAGCTGAGGGAGGGAAACAGATGAGACTGATGCCAGCTGTCGGAGTCATCCACACTGTCAACAAATGCCCGACAGCACTTAGCTCAGAAGACACTAGTCCCCGGTGAGGTATGCATGTTTAGTATTGATAGCCATAGCTGGAATATGCCCCTTACTCGACCTGCTGCTACTGCAACTGTGTGTTATAGCAGGTAATACGAGACGCAACAACTTATTTTTGAGGATGGTATTTCCCTCCACAGTTATGCCTCCTCCCGACAGAAACGTTTTAAGAGTTTTAAAGTCTGTTAAAATGTCTCATTAAACGTGGTATTCTTTAGAAGATCTCTGCTCTTCAGTACAGGCGTACAGTTATATTAGTTGTAGATTACATTACATAGATAGAGACATTACACTGATGACCAGTCAACAGCAGATCAGATGAGTCTAGAGGAGTTTTCATAAACAACCCAGTCTAAAATGCCACTGTCAGGAAATACAGAACTTTCAGAAGCAGATACAGGGGCTTTTTTGAGGGCTCCAAAGATATTCAAATCACGGCCATTCATTTCAGGCATGACATAGAATATATATTTTGGGTTGAAAGTTTAATTTAAGAATCAATCGCCTTTTGAATTAGTATGAGCTAGCATCAGCCTCCAAACATCAGGCAGGGCTCGCTGAGGAAGTTACATTGAAATCTTAAAGCCTTTTAAACAGCTGCATGAGAGGTTAGGCTGGCTAACAACATGTTCAGTTCATCCAGATAAAAAATGTTTGATTACACAGTAGGTTGTTTTTATATCATTGAATCCAAACATTTTAAGGTTTTCAAATCTGAAAAGCTGCTTCCTTTCTGTTTTTACATCTTTAAGAAATAGGATGTGTATTGTATAAACAATTTTACAACTTGACAGTAAACTCTTACAACTTGTCACACACATTTATTTATTATTTAACATTTTAGAGACCGCAGGTAATTGGAATGACAAATTAATGGAAATAAAAGAAAATATTGGCAACAGTTTTAGCTTGAAGTAATGTGGCCCAGCTGTTTTGTGGTTTCATCAGTAGACAAGAGATCCCACTCATAACCCCTGACACACTTCTGTATAACTCTCAGGCACATTTTGAAGAGTGAATGGCAAAGTCAGACTAAAACCTTGTACTGAGGCATCCTAAATACTTTTACAATCCTCTGCCTCGTCTAAAGTGATCTTTTTATCCCGTCCAGGTAAGATCACTCTGCGGGACCTGAAGAGGTGCAAGTTGTCCCACATCTTCTTCGACACGTTCTTCAACATCGAGAAGTACCTGGACCACGAGCAGAAGGACCCGTTCTCCGTGATCAGGGTAAGGCTGTCAGACGATGTGAGACGGAAACAACTTGTTCTTCTGTCAGCGGTCGAGGGGATCACGTTTCTTGTGGTGTTTTTTCAGGAGATGGAGACAGAGAGCCAGGAGTTCTCCGACTGGGAGAAGTACGCTGCGGAGGAGTACGACATCCTGGTGGCCGAAGAGGCCGCCAACGATCAGTGCAACGACGCGTAAGTCCAGGGCTGGATTCATTAAACCGATAAAACTGTCCTTTATTTTCTTTGTAATTCTTTTACTTTGACACCAACTCATAACGCCTAATAAAAGCTATTCGTTATAACTTGAAATTCGGCATGAAAATAAAAGCCGTTTACAAGACTCTCCTAAAAGACAGCTTGGTAACAGCGGTAATGAAACGGTTCAGATTTATTTTGAAAATCAATTTTGACCAATGACTATTATTTCAACCCTATTTATAAACAACAATATATAACATTGTTCATTTAACATGTCAATTACTTATAACATATTGACTTTAATGCATGGATTTAGAATCTTTTTTAGAAACTGGCAGATGGATGTTTTTGTCTGTCTGCGGTTAACAGGAGTGTGTTCATGGTTTGATGTATGTCATGGCTTTACAAAGTATTCCCAAGGACATTTCTTCAGGAGTTTCATAAATGAGTCCCTGAATATTGTTACATATTGTAATAACAAATATGTACTGTTATTATGAGGGCTCACAGCAGATGCAGAACACAAATAGCCTCATTTTATGGCAGAACTTTCAACATCACATGGCAGGAAATGCAGTTTTAATTGATTGTACATTTCTTTAGATGGTCTATTTGGCAGTGAGACAGTGAGACAGTGAGGGTCAGAGGTCAGGCCTTGTGTCCCGCAGCAGAGACCCTCAGAGAGTCAGTGGTAGATGAGGCTGTTGACAGGTATGTTGTGTGGTTTTAGGAACACCACCAACTTCTAAAGACAGGCAGCTAACCGGAGCAGGTAAGACCTCAGGTCAGCAGCAGAGACTTCACTGTCCCCCCCTCCTCTCTGTGAGTCCAGTCCTAAACCCACTCCTGGCTCCCTATCCCCCCCCCCCGTCCAATCTGATGCTGACAGCAGGTGGTCCTTCTGTCAGACGGCACAGTGGTGTGTGTGTGTGTGTGTGTGTAGTCACATTCTCAAATGATCAATTACAGTAAGAAACATTCTGCGGTCAAAAACCTTCTCTTTTCTTCTGTCGTTATGTGTGTGTGTGTGTGTGTGTGTGTGTGTGTGTGTGTCAGAGCATGTTTTGGAAGCAGACGGTTTCTGTTTTTCAACTTCCACTTCTGAGGAAGAACTGTTCACCATCTCTGTCCGTACCGTCATGTGTTGCTCCTTTGTTCTCTCCAGTTCAAAATGTCCTCTCTGTTTTAAGGAATTACACTTATTCACTTTCTTGCTAAAAGTAAGAAGAAAGGATCGACACCACTCTTGTATAGTTCAAATGAAGCTGCTAGTTATATTAGCTTAACATAAGAAAGACCATAGTATGAGCCAATGGGATGGTTGTAATTACACGGTTAGCCACTATGAATATTGGCACAATATTGCATAGAGGCATCTAGTATTTCTGCTAAGCTCCTGTAAGCAGCTGCTAGTTCTTTTTTCATAACTCTCAGCAGGAAAGCAAATGAGCTTTTCCAAATGTAAACAGTTTGAGTGTTATAATTGAGAACATTGACTGTGTCTGGATGATCCCTGATCTTCTCCTCTATGTCTCTGTTCAGGTATGAAAATCCTCTGAGCCCTTTAGGGCAGCACATCTCCACTGAGCTGGGTCTGACAAAGAGACACTTCTTTCAGATCCCCAGTCCACACTGCAACCTGGACGAATATGAATATGAAGATGACTTTGAGTGATCCTGTAGCGTTTCCTCACCTGCTGAGTGCCGTGCGCTCCAGGAAACAGCCCAACCTGCAGTGGATGAATCTCTATCAAGACAGATTCACAGGTTCAGGACAAACTTCAATAAACAGGAAGTGAACAGAGCACTGGTGGGGTCAGATGTGCTGGAAAAATGGACGCAGTATCACACATTTGGACAGGAAATATGATCAGAGCAGATGGTGGTTGCTCAAATTACCGAATGTTTTAAATATGTTCACCAGCCTCGCTTACAGAAGTCATCACAGCTGACTTTGTGGTGTCACAAGCGGCACGTTTAGACCTCTGCACGTGAACAAAGGAAAAGTCGTGTAATGCTTTGTATAAAAAATATCTGGGGCGAGTGTTATCTCATCTGAAAATCAGTATCGTGTTATAACATTCATGAGCTGAATCACATTCTGATTGGTTGATTCGGGATTTGAGCTAAATCACATTCTGATTGGTTGATTGGGGATTTGAGCTAATTATCATCTGAAGTCATTGGCTAGTGTTACATTCCAGTGATCATAATGGAAGCTTTTCTACAAGACTGTAAATTCATGAATGGGTGTTTGTTGAAATGAGGAGTTGCCAAACAAACCACCGTCAAGCCTGTTGCACACAGTTCACACTGCCAAACACACACACACACACACAATATTTTGTACAGGTCTGCACTCATTATGACATATATTTACTGTATTTGTGAGATGGGGTTATTATTAAATTATTAGAGAAGAGTTTATAAATACCTGTAAATATTTATTCGGTGCTTGCTGTGTTGTAAATGATTCGGGAAATTGTTTTAGAGACTTTTTTCTATGTTACCAAGTACTTCATTTGTATGTACTTTGACGGAACAAAAGGAACCAATTTTAAAATGTTTTGCTTTTCTTTAAATTAATAATAAAGCCTTTTAATGGGAAAGTAAATACATGGACTGTGCTTTTTCATTTGAAGCATCTAGTACAGACTGTTTTTGATATGCTCTATACATATACATGTCTGTTAGATTAAAAGGGCAGCTGCTCAGTCATGTTATTTTAGACTAAACTAAATACAGATGTTGAAATGCAGTGAAGTATTGACCCTCTTGGGAAATGACTTCATGGGTGTAAAGTGGGACAAGCTGTAAAGGCAGTAATACAAATTAACAATTTAAATATATGGAGAAATGTACCAGATTTGACTTTTTTATTTAAATTAATAACTGCAATACATAAGGAATGTTTGGCAACCCTTAAAAAGGAGTTATAATAAAGTGGCAGGCAGGATAATAAAGCAACATTCTTAAAATACTGAAGAATATCATAATATTCAAGTTACATGCCACTTGTAACATTCAGGTCAATTATGGAAGTGTATTTAGGGGGAAATGCTAAACAAAATACTCATTCACTTGGTCCTCAAATTAAAGCGGTGTGTGAATAAAAAACATTTAACTTAAATAATTTGAGACATTATTTGATAAACAAAGATAAATATAGTGTTATTTTATATATTTAACAAACCCCTTGAAAAATACTGAAGTCCTTCTGACTGCGTGAGCCTGTATCTGTTGCCCTAAGCCCATTTTATGAGAAATGTATAAATGTGCCTATTTTGAATAGGCTCTGTAACAAAACAATCAGCAGTGAAAGTGCATTTGTCTGCTGTGGATAAATACATATGTGTTGCTCCAATCAGTGTTTCCAGCAGCCGGAGGGGACACGTGATTCAAAGTCAAATACAATTCCCATGTCTTTACAATGTAGAAACATGTGATTTAGTGCAATGTGTCTTATTTATGCGTAACAATCCTGTTCAAAATGTGGATTTATGGCACAATAATAGAATATATCAGCTTCTCTCTGCACAATTAATAAATTCCTATTGGCTGAAGTGTTTTTGTGGGATTTGTTGATACAAAAAACAATCTGGATGTAGCAGACGTGTCCTTATATTGAACATATTGTACTGTGTTTAAACAAACCTGTATTAACCGGACTGTAGAGGGGGATGGGTTGCCGGTATTTCCTCACATAATTACTGAGACAGAAAAAAGGAAAGCCCCTTTGAAATGTGTGAGGTCCTATCCTCCAACAAACTAACTGCTACAGTTCAACTTCCACAGTGTCGTCGTCCTCCTCGTTGAGGATGCTGAGGACAGTTCCCTGGATGTTGGATCTCTTTGCAGGAGGCTCCACGGGGAGGGAAAAGGGATCCGTGTCTGCTGTCTTTTCCTGATGGCTGAGGAGTTACAGGAGGTCACAGTTATTAGTATGAGCATGGTGGAGGAGATCTAATGTGTCACTGGTTTAGACATAATCAATTCACCTTGGACTGAAGCTGGACTTTCTAACTTTAGCAACTTTGGAGTCAGAAGGGCTCAACGGGCAGGGGGACTTGCATCCTTAAGGAATAAGAAAAAGACAAACATGATCTATCTGGCTGCATTAAAGGTCCCCTAGTATACTGTTTCTCATCAATATATTATAGGTATCAGATATATACACAACATGTCTCTGAAGTGTTTGGCTCCAAATACCAAACAGATCATTGCAGCATCCCATAATCCCCTCTGTTTCAGCCCTGTTTCTAAAGTGCTGATTCTCTGTCTGTTACGTTACACAAGCCAAAAAATCGTTATGACATCATAAAGTGGCCAAAATCTGATCAGCTCGTTTTCAGACAGGTTTATATAGAAATGGATCAGGACAAAAAGTGAGCGAATATTTTTTCCTGAAACTTTCGGAAGCTCAATACACAGAGGGGACACATGTGTATGTATAAAAGACATGAAAAGGTGGATTTTGCATAATAGGTGACCTTTAAGAACACAACACTTATGTGCTTGACCTGACGATTAGTTCTGGCACCTTCTAGTTTTAGTTTGGAGCGACTGGGCAGGTACTTCCTGTCAGAGCTAACGTACGACGCGGCATCCTCCCCTTCAGCTGCAGCCAGCAGGGAGGCTCGATAGTTGAGGAGCGGCTGCCAGCTCTCCTCCCTGAGGTCAATAACCTTCTCTGCTGTGTGCTTCTGCAGGTAGGAGAACCTGCACAGACAGGAACAACACTTACAGGAAGACACTTTTTAAAAACATGTTTGTAAGCCTGTATGTTTCGCGCAGCACTTACACTGTTTTCTTGTCTGGTTTGAGCAGTTTGCTGGAGAACTCACTGAGGATGGGCAGGTAGGAGAGGTACGGCGGAGTAGGTGTTTCTGCCGTCTGACTGAACTCGCTGAACACAAACTCTATGCCGTTCCTGCAAATACAAAACTCAAAATTAAGGCAGAAGAAAAAGTTAAAACAATAGTCTAGGTAATGCGACCGAGCTCCAGCTAACCTGTGGATCATGACGACACACTCACGAAACTTGAACTGGTCCCCAAAGCTGAGGGCGAAGCGCCGGGCGAGCTCTCTGATGCTGGTGAAGGTCTGGACCCCCGGGTGAGCCCCCCCGCTCTCCTGCTCACGCTTCAGACGGACCAACAGCTGAGGAAAGAGGACAAACAGGAATATTCCCATTTAAATTCAGCATCCCAGACAGGCCTAGACAGCAGCATAACACATTTCACATTAAAACAACAGAACAGAAACAAAACGAGTCCTAACACTCAATGAGCACAGTTACAGGACGTTTGTATTTACTCTACCTGCTGCAAGCAGAGCACCAGAGTGCGAGCGCTCTCTATCTTATCCATCTGTCTGGTCCGGCACATCGTCTCCTTGATGATGTCTCCAAACTCGTTGAAGTACTGGAACAAACAGGGAGAGGTTAGCTATGTAGCACATACTTGTATTAAAGGAAGGGTTTTCTTTTTCTTTTTTTTTTATTGTGCCAAGAGTTTAATTATTAGATCAAAACCTGATGATGCCAGACTGTACATTTTAAGCTACAGCCAAAAGCTGCTTAGCTTAACTTGGGAAACAGTTAACCTGACTCTGCTGGAAGGTAATACAATGTATCTACTTGCACTTCTAAAGCCTGTAATTCAAATTGAGTATGTTGTTTGTATAATATATTCAAAACTACAGTGTAAAAACACAAGCTGCTGTTTTATGACGGCTTGTTTCTTCTTGATCATTTTAAGATCTTGGGTGACTACCCAGTCCACCCCAATCTTAAAGTGATCACATACGAACAGATGTGGGTTTTTATCACCTTTGGAGTGAGCCAGACTAGCTCTTTCCAGTCATTATGCTAAGCTAACCAACGGTTGGGTATAGCTTCATATTATTACAGACATGAGAGGGGTATCAATCTAACTTTTGGCAGGAAAGCTGATTAACCTTTTTTCCAAAATGTCCTTATTTTTTAAGCTTTACCTTCATGTAGTAAATGAAGACCTCAGCTGCCATGCTCATCTCCAGAACTCGATGCACGATGAGTTTGCAGAAGGCTGCCAGCATATTTCTGCGTTTGTGTAGCTCCTCCAGCCTCTCCTCCTCAGAGTTCCCACCGACTGAGGAAGCCAGATGGAGATGAAGCGTGCGGTTGGATGTGAAGTGGTCGAGGGTGAGAAAGGGAAAGAGAGTGATTAATCATGACAAATCATATAACAGAAACTAAGAGAACAAAGCAGAGTGTTTTAGTAAGTTTGAAGACAATGGCTTTAGCAGGTGGAAATCAAAGATAACATAAGACTAGAGTTATGGTTGTGACACCATGTGGCTTCAATCTTTCACAAGGCTAATAAAATAGGCTCAGAGTTAATGGAATTTTCTCACGGAAAGAGATTGCCCTGATTTTATGATTTAACTCGGGGCCCTTACCCTCCGAGTGATCTCTGATCCAGCAGCTAATAGAAAACACTGCCTATATAACAAAACCCTTACCAGGCAAATCCAATAAAACAATCGCTTTTTATTACATGTTCGAAAAACAATAATCCTGTATTGTATTTGTTTAACATTTAAGAGATTCCCACCAGGACCGCTATTGACTTCTCTGGACGATCCCACATTTGGATGCAATATGTCTCGGAAAGTAAAGCTATTGTAAAGATAATAAAATGTTTTAGTGAGAGTCAGCCATCAATGGATTTATAGGTTTCACCTGCAGGACTTTACAAAGAAAACATTACGTATTTCCAACATGTCAATCTTGTTTGACTCATTTCAGATCAGACGGGAACACACTGCTGTCATCAATTTACAAGCAGCATAGCTTTGAAAACAAACTATAGCATCAGTTACTACAAATTAGTACAGCCAGTTTCAAAGTGAGGATATTAACAGGGTTTCCTTTGTAATTGAGGGTCACTTGTTAGGTCAGGTGGTAAAATCAGACCCAGTTTACAGTCAGCAGGCAGCTCAGCAGTCAGCTATCAGGCCTGATGTGTGGCCGTGCATTTCAGATCTGCATATCTGTACCCAGAGAACAGCTACACTGAATCACAGCTTCAGAGGGAAGGAGGCTGAGCTCCACAGAGTGAGAGTGCCATCTGCTGAGTAAACCCTGCTCTGTGTTTCTGCTGGGGGTCCCGCACACTCCTGGGTGCACACACACACACACCTATAGGAAGGCAGCTGTTCGGATGTGTGGAGTCGGACCTGCAGGATTTGTGACTCCTAACTGCATAACAGAGCGTGTCTAAAGCTTGTTTTAGCCGTGAGGATTTTCATCTTATGCTACTTTACACTTCTACTTCTAAATATTGTATATTTTTCTTCACTACATCAGTTTGCTATTTTACTTTTCAAAAATGATATATTGTTGAAATTAAACCAGTTTTTTCCAAAACGTTTGTGGCCCTTGACAAAAATAGTGTGTGCTACATTTCACATGTGTAAACCTCTAAACTTTTCACATTGTTTTATTTTAATAATTGTTCAATGCTTTAAAAAAGGTCAAATTATTATTCGTTTATCTACAGGAAAAGAGCCTAATGAGCTTGTTGAATTGTATTTGGTTCTATTAATATGCAGATATTTATGCTTGTTCGTACAAGTCTTGAAATTAAGTTTAGGTGAGCGCAGTTAAGCTGATTCATTTGAGAAACAGCCTCAGCACGTAATCATCCAGCACAGTGACGATGAAACATCTAGTTTCAGCAATAAAGCGCATAACACATTTGCACTAAGGTTAAAGGATGTAAAATAAACACTTCATGTAATCATGCAGATGTCTCACCCCCGCTCTGGCTCTCACGGTCTGGTCCAGTGAAGACGTGCAAGCACACGAAGGTGGAGAGCGCCCTCTGCAGTTTGGGACTGGGGGTGTAGAGCAGAGGCCCGAAGCAGCTGGGGTCCAACACCTGCAGCTGGAAGGAGTGAGCCGTCAGAACGTCACAGACTCCCAGGAAGGCCTGACATGGAAAATAGAGAGGACGTGAGACAAGAAAAAAGAAAAAGTTAAATGTGCCATGATTTTTAAAACATCAGTTTACCTGCTGCTGCACCCTGGGGTCAGAGCGGGAGAGACAGTGGTGACCTCGCTCACAGAAGAGACGCAGCTGGAGCCTCTGGGCCACGGCCTTCTCCTGAGAGACACACACACACACACACACACACACACACACACACACACACACACACACACACACACACACACACACACACACACACACACACACACACACACACACACACACACACACACACACACACACACACACACACACACACACACACACACACACACACACACACACACACACACACACACACACACACTACTAACTAACTACTACTACTACGTACTACGTACGTACGTACGTACTACTAACGTACTAACTACTTACGTACTTTACGTATACGTTACGTACGTACTTACTTACGACGTACGTACGTACGTACGTACGTACTACGTAACGTAACTACGTAACTAACTAACTAACGTAACTACTACACACACACACACACACACAAGCACACACACACACACACACACAGATTCAAAAACCTCACATTATCTTGCCTACAGATTTCACAAGACCATATTTACGGATCTTTTTGTATGTACAGGCACACACACAGGGCTTCAAAACAAGGCATATTGATGACAAAAGGGAAGAATTTGCCTTCAAATATGTGCATTTAGTTAAAAGAAAATTGTCATTTGATATGGGCATCTCTAGAAATACAGTCCTACTTGAAAGCTCTTTCTATTGCTTCACATACTAACACACATTATATCTTTTCATCAAGTCTCCGTATCATATTTTTTCACTATCTACTGAATATGGTATTCATTGATCTGTTAATTGTGAGGATGGTAGAATTTCAGCAATTAAAGCCTGAGATGACATCTTAAAATGTATTTTTCTGTTGCAACAACAGTCTAAAACCCAACAGTTTTATTTTAGTAGTACATTTTTAGCTTTAAAGATGACCGAACTGATTCCTGTTTATCAAATACAGTTGCTGAACAGTCAGTCAACTATTTCTGCATCCACACTTCTTATTGTACTAGTTCTAAATTCATTAATATTGTACTAGTTAAAACGTCAGCCCGAGTGCAACAGATGTAACTCACTCTGGAGGTTAATGTGTCGGTACTGGTGCTGAGGGACCAGATCATGCAGGAAGAGAGACACTGCAGTACCTCCAGCAGCACCTTCAGACATATAAAGAAGAGGGAAAGAGACACAAGACAGATTGTGGATAAATCAATCCATAACACTTGTACAAACTTGACTTTAAAGAAGCAGAGCTGGTACCTCAGGCGGTGCTCCTCCCTCACTGCTCTCCACTGACAGGAGAGGAGACAACAGCTCAAACAGGTTCCACCTGAGGAGGTTGTGACAGCTTACAAAACACAGAGAAACACAGAATGAACAGCAAATAAATACACATCACTGGCAAAATACTGTCAGCTCAAACAGCTCTCAAACCTTACTTGTGGAAAGCTCTGAGTTTCTTCAGTGTGGCTAAAATGTCTCCAGTTTTCTCCTCATCAGCGGAGAAACTGTCACCCTACAACCGAGGAATAGGAAATAATAAGTAATCGTGTCAAGTAAGGCGTTTAATTATAAGAATACAACCTGTTTGGCACCTTTTAGAATAAAAAAAAATAGTTATGTCTACTATAATATGGCTTGAAGAGTTACAAATGTGCAATAATCTCTACCAAAAAGCAAAATATAGAGAAAGATATGAAAAATGTTGAAGTATTTGTATCTCGTGACCCAAAAACATCAACCTTTCTTCGGACCCCATAAGGGGTTCCTGAAGTGTACTGTTCTTCAAACGATCTGGACTGTTAATAGGATTATGACAGACATTAAGTCTCAATCCATTCATCACCATCTCTTTGTCCCTGCAGTGTGACAGGCCCCCTCACCTTCAGCGAGCCCCCCAGCAGCTCTGTCAGCTGATCCACCCAGCTCTGCACCACAGAGTCTCTGGCGTCCCGGGCTGTGGCGCTGGAGGCCGTCCCCCCCCCACACAGACTGAGGGATGTACGGGCAGCCGCCTCCAGAACAGAGGGTCCAGCGTGGCGCTCCAAAACTGTTTCCATCTCTGCCGTCAGAGCCGATACTGCCTGAGGACGAGGAGGAATGAACTAATCATATTGATAACAGTGGGTTGGAAATACTTGGTTTTAACACGTATTGAAACTGTGTCATCCCATTCATTTGTCATAAATGCTCCCTGTGATGTGTGTGTGAGTTGAAAGCCTGTGATGCAGACCTGTGTGTTGTCAGAGTCAGGACACTCAGGGAGGAAGAACTGAGGAATCTTCATCAGGGAGGCCACACAGTCACTACTCTCTGAAAACTTCACAAACAATATCATAAAATAACAGACATTAAAATGTATTCCACAGAATATAACTATTATTATATTAGTTATTAAAGAATAAATACCTTGGATAGTAACTTTGGAAGCACCACGAGGAAGTGATCAGTGAGCTTGGTACAGTCATCATTCTGGATTTTCCTTTCCTTTGCATTCATTACCTGAAACATTCATTCCAACAGACCAGTTTATTAAAATGTCTTTTTGAGCATGTTTCAGTGGCTTACGTTACACATTAGTGATGCTACAGTTATCAGTAGCACCAGCACGTATATTTACTAAAGTACTGTTCTTAGGTACAATTGTTGCATCTAAACTGTTTTAATACTTTCCTGCTCATAAAAAAGGGAAACAATCTCCCACTGACCTTCTTTGCTCCACTCCTTCCTGCCAGTGATGGTCCCTCTGCAGCCTGACGCACCGACGCTACCAGCATCTCAACAAGCACAACTTGTTCTGCACAAGTGAGGCCTGCAGACACACACACACACACACACACACACACACACACACACACACACACACACACACACACTCTCTCTCTCTCTCTCACACACACACACACACACACACACACACACACACACACACACACACACACACACACACACACACACACACACACACACACACACACACACACACACACACACGATGATGATGAGTGCTGTAGACCTCATGCATGTGACACTATCCACTGTCTAAGGTATTTAAAGATCATTCTGCCAACAATGACACACATCCCTCTTACCTGGAGCGTGTGAGGAGGGGTCCTGCAGCAGTATGGATGTGAGAGTGGGCCAGTCCTTCAGCAGGGCTGCACCAACGTCCCACAGACTGTCCACCAGGTAAACCACATGTTTGTGCAGCTGACGACAGAGAGACATGTTACTGCTTCCAATTTCTTAAATCAAATCAACAGCCTTGAATTCAAACAGGCAGAATATTTTCACCTCAGACTCCTGGTAGAACTGCAGCAGAGCCTTCAGTCTGGATGTGTGTTGTTTATGTACCTCCTCCTCCTTATTTATTTCATCCTCAGTGTCAGATGTAGGGCCTGCAGTGTTGAGAAGCCTAAAGGAGACCAGCAACATCCAGACACACATTAAATAACAGTTTTTGAAATCAGTTTGAGTGTTTTGTATGGATGGAGGTGACCGTACCGTGAGAAGAGCAGCTCCCCTGCAGCGGCCGCCAGGGGGCGCTGTGAGGAGTAAACTAACTGGAGCAGCTGCTGGTAGTCCTCTGGACTGAGAGCATCATCTGATGTTCTGAGGAGACAGGAGTAGTTTGATGCAAATACAAACTAAGGCAAGGCAAGGCAAGGCAAGTATTTATATAGCACTTTTCAACACAAGGCAATTCAAAGTGCTTTACAAAAAATGAAAGACATTAAGAAAATGGCATTCAGTAGGAAAACTTTAAAAATGAATCGAACAACAGACTCACCTGGAGATGAGGAGCAGCAGCTTCATGGTCTGCACTGCCACCTCGTTGTCTTTATCCAGAGTCATGGAGATCAACCGGTCCTGGAACACAAACACATATACACACATATACAAATATTAATTAAAAAAATGGTTTCTGCCTTGGTTACCCACAATCCCTTAACGCAACTTTAAGCAGAATAGTTTACCTTGAAGCGGCTGGTGAACAGGTCCAGTTTAGGGAGGAGCTGAGGATCCACATATAAACCCTGCAGACCTAACACACACTTGAGACGCACATCTGGAATCTGAAACATGATGACAATGTCAGAGCAGAGACAGTTTAAAAACATTTACAAACAGAGACTTGAGTAAAGCTGAGACAACTTGCTGTGATTACTGGTTTCATAGCAAAGACGACAGACAGTCAAAGATCTATTATTCACAAAGATATCTCAGTTTTATCTTCTGATCACATCATCACACATCACATGTTTCCTGTTGTTTACCTTGTCGTGCATCATCCAGCCCATGTATTTGAGGTAGCTATCGTTGAGAAACGCAGAACTGTAGAGCTTCATCCACCAGCCCAACTCCTCCATACAGATAGAGCGGATTTCTGGAAGCACGTCGCTGCACAGACACACGTGCTCAATAAGATAAGGCACTTTGAAACCACGCTGAAACCAACCATGTCGGAGAAACACTTACCGATATCTTTTCAGGAAAACTCCTTTAAAGAGAATGTCCATCATGCTCTCTATCTCCGCTCTCTTCCCCTGCAGCTTGAGGAGCAGGAGCACAGGCACACAGTGAGGCAGACATTACTTATAGAGCAAATAGAACATCCTCAACTAGATAAACAGTGTCTTACCTCTGTGACTTTCTTCTCTATTCTCTCCTGTTGCACGTTCCTTCTCTGCCTTGTCTTCCTCTCCTGCACCTCGTACACTTTCTGACTGTTTTCAAGGCCGACGCTCAGGCTCAAAGCCACGGCAACCAGAGAGCTCAGCAGCTTCACGGCTTATCAGGGGACATCCAAACCAAGAAGCACATGTTAGTTTATTGAATGGATTGATGTTTGTGTGTGTGTGTGTGTTTTCTATTTCATTACCTGCTAGTGTGCAGGTGTGTCTGAAGGCCCGTACTGAAGAGTCTGACAGCTCTGTGAGCAGCGAGATGAGGGTGTTCATCAGGTAGCTGTCGAAAATGACGCTGTGCTGACACTGAGAAACCAGCACCGACATAAAGTCGCAGAACTCAGAGGAGAACCAGCGGGCCTCCGGTCCAGACTGTATCAGAGGATACTCCACGTTATCCTAAAGAGAGAGGAGGGAGGAAAATAAAAGAGAGTAAAGACCATGAAGGGCAGAAATGATTTAGTTCATCAGGTTAGAGAAGATACTCACAGAGGACTGAGCGGGGGAGAGCGCAAAGGTGTTCATAATAAAGAGACTAAAATACGGAAGTCTTAAATAGTATTACTGTCAACCTAAAGACAGGAGAGAAAACTATTGGATGGATCACTTCTGTAGTTAGGGTGATGGGTACGTTTATTTCAAATATGATTGTATTTAATATAGGAAATCCAATTAGGTGACATGTTGATCACTGTTATAAAACTGATTGAAGACACAGTGGGGCGATTAAATAATGAATGAGAAGCTCCGATATAGAAAGGTCAGAGCAGTAAATGTCAGGACAAATCCATAAAGCAGGAGGTTCTACTGACTGTGTCCAGAGGCCATGTGACTGTGAGGATCCACGGGAAGGCCAGAAACTTCTTATACTGCAGACCAGAAACCTGAAGCACACACAGGCAGACTGTTTCAGATCAAGGGGTTGAATCTGATGAAAACACAGGAGGAAACACAGATGGAAGACCTTTTACCTCGTCCAGCTCCTCCACCATCTTACTCCTGAGCTCACTGTCCTCTCCGCTCTGACACATCTCTGCTGTGACCACACCTGGAGAGACACGGGGGGAACATGCACCTGATGTTGTGTATTCTTAATGCGTGTGTGTGTGTGTGTGTGTGTGTGTGTGTGTGTGTGTGTGTGCGTGCGTGCGTGCGTGCGTGCGTGAGTGCGTGCGTGCGTGCGTGCGTGCGTGCGTGCGTGTGTGTGTGTGCGTGTGTGTGTGTCTGCTTGCCTTTGCATCCCGAGCATTGGATGAAGAAGCTGATGAGATCGAGGAGAGAAGTGTCTCTGTTCTTCTGGTAAGCCTCGATCCAATCGTCAATCACCGTCTGCTCAGGCATCATAAGAGGCAGATTGTGTTTTTACTGTTTATTAATTTGTATAATTAGTATATTCAAGTCTTTTAATAATTTGGGTAAGTTTATTCTTTTTAGTTATTTTTGAAAAAAACTCTCTGCTGAAACCAAAAATAAGTCTTTATTATAGATCAAAGGTGAACCAAAACATTTGTATTTGTATTTTACCGTGAGTAAAAGAATTCCCAGGCCAAGACAGGAAGCATAACAAATAACACATACTTTTTGTATATTGAAGTTGTATAGGTAAAAAGAGCTTTATAAATAAAGAAAGAAACATAAATAGTAGTCCAGCACAGACACAGTACTAATGTTTGTGTGCATGTTGCTTGCATTACATCTGAGATAAATAAAAAAGGTCTGACCTTTAAATGTATTAGTTTATTCCAAACATGGCAATTATTATAAAACAAAACATGTACACGGAGCAAGGAGAAGAAAATATTATATTACTAACACAATAAGATTTAAATAAGACAGTCTAGAGCAGAAGCCAATCTTCCATGTGAGAGTGATCTGGTCTCACCTGCATGGCGCTCCGGCCCATGGTGAGCACCTGGAACAGGGTGACGGCCTCCACGTGTTCGCTGCCTCCTGCTCTGCTGCTGCCACTGGCTTTAGCACGTTTGCGCTTGACATTCTCTGAGCCTGTGTGTGCTCTTTTTCTCCGTCTCTGCGGGTAAAAAAAAAAGCACTGATAAAGCAGTAATCATGAGTTTTTAATCAACAAGCCAAAAACAAATATCTGAATGACAAACTCCTCTGTGTAAGCACTGTTCTTTGAAGAGTCAAGATCCAAATTCAAGAGTCAGTCAGACTCCAGGCGGTTCACTCCTCCAGCTGGGCACTAATGAGCCTTCTCACTGTAATAGCTTTCCTCATATTGTCATACTGCTTTTCTACCATTATTCGTCTGCTGATCATTTGCTATCAGACCTTAGACCCTGCTTGTTTAATGATGAACAGAGAAACACCTACCGCACTCTTTTGTCTGTTCTCATTCCCCGACTCATCTTCTGATTGATTGACAGCTGCGGAGGAGTTCGCCTCATCATGAGAGTTCTTCCTGGGAAACCAAAACATTCATTTCTAATGACTTGAATAGAAAATCTAATTCTTGTTTATAGTTATGTTGCTTAATGTATCTGCTATACTTTGATTTTCATGAAACATGATCAACTTATTAAATATAATGACTTTTTATGTTTGAAATGCCCCACATACTGTTAAACACTAATAACATGCTTACAAATCATTGCTAGTGGAGAAAACAAAAAACTATAAAAGTTATCATCTTTGTGGACCTTGAAGGCTCCATATTTTTATTCTGAAAAAAGTGTTTGGTTATATTTTTTATACTTGAATTACAATTTGAAGAAGAGTAAATGTTATGCCCCCACTTTAGAGGATACAAAAAACCTCTTACCTCTGCTTTGAAGCCCTGGTTGCAGCTGAAGCTGTGGGCTCTGGTATCATCTCCTTCTCAGATCTTTACACAGAGTTCAGGTGAGTGACTCTCCATCTGGACACAGTGGTGATGAAGTAGAGTAAAGATATTTCAGACAGTTTGCTCAACCCAAATCATGGAAACGTTATCAATACGAAACCTTTACCTGTAAACAGAAGGTTGCCATACTTATATATCTCGGGTCAATTTTTAACATTTGGAGGGGTTGCAGGGTGTCTATAATGTAGGCATGACGAAAATATACATTGCATGCCCGTCTCCGCAGAGAGGAGCTCACAGGGGATTTAAAAGAGTTGCTTAAAGACACTACGGCAGAGAAGCTATTTGAGCCCCTTGAAGTCTTCATAGACAACTTCAAAACACAGTCTGCCATCCTGCGACCCTGCTACATTACACATATTTTATTTGAAAACTAAAACATAAGTTATGATTTACCGAAGTAGCCCTGTTGTGTGTACATTGTAACAGAGGTGAGTGACGGATAAACACACAGACAGGTCGGTCGCATATCCTCAGTTTTTCAAACTTACCCTCTTCACATTGATTCATCCTTCCTTGATGGTATTTAAAATGCAAAATATGTCATATTAAAACATTTCAAACACTTTCCACCACGAATATCGTCCTTATTTCCACCAAGCTCTCACAGTCAAGTTGTCGAACAGCCTAACAGCATTCTGATTGGCTGGAAAATGAAATCGAACGTATGTGGTTGGTTGTTCTGACGTGTCAGTCAGACTTTAGTCCCTCCCCTGGAGGTTTGGTTTTCTACATACCTTAGCACTGAAAACATCTGTAGCACGCATCAAATATGAGGTAATCTGCAGACAGGAGTCATTATTTACAAAAAATTGAGAAAGGCCCTTTTTGTTTAATTTCTGCTGTTATTCGAGTGGAAACATATGTTACTGTAGCCCAGTCTGTGCCGTATATTGTACTTTATCAGACTTTTTATTTTTAATTCAGAACGGAACTGTCTGGTATTTCCTGATTTAATATTTTTTGAAAGAATTGAACAGCAGGAGGCGCCCTTTACTTAAAATAAGTGAAGAGTAATCCTAAAAATAACAATTATTGTTGCTATTGTTTGGCACACATTTAAAACCACATTATATATATTGAAAGAAAACAAGAAATGTCTGTCAGGAAAGGTACAGAAAGAAATAACATATTTTTCAATATTTAACTAAAAATAATTACATTAGAAATTACACAAAAAAAGCAGACCAGAAAAACTAACCAATGAAATACATACAAATGCAAACACATCACCCTATTGCATTACATTTTATTATTCCACTTTAGGTTAAAAAAAAGAAGTAATTGTAACAGTAGTGCAAGAAGGGATTCAACAAGCTTACATTCATTTTCAAATAACTGACTCATCATAGTGACTAAAATGGATCACATTCAAGAGAACGATTAAAAAAACCTATATGATTTGTAAATGAAGTAGGCTATCCAATCCCACATGAATCAGTTTAGCACCTTTTCACAGTCATAACAACATCAGTTCATTCAGAAGCTCCTGGAGAGATCTGCAGCATCACAACGTCAGGATTCACAGACACAGAGGCATCGTTCAGGGAAGTCAGGACAGGAACTGGGACACGAAGCTCACGGCCTGGTGAAGGTCTTCTGTCAGCTCCTCCGGTAGCGTCAACACCAACGATGTTAAACTTTGAGTAAGTTCTAATATCCTACACAGAGAACAGAATATGGTTGTTATTAGAAAGTTGCTGCATTGCTCTGTGAAGTGTCATCACTTATATATGATGAGTTCAAAGGCGCACAATAGCTACAACATAGTTTAGGCAATTAAAATCTTTGTCATAGGCTATTCCAACAGTGCAACATCCAAAATACATGTAAAGAAAAATACATAACAAAATAGACATACTGGTGCAGGTAAGTTGCAGGCGTAAGAACAACAAATACATATAATATAAAATACGATTAAACAGAATGTAAAATACAGTAGAATAAATACTGTAATAATATATGGAGATGTGGAATAACAAGTGTAGAGTTGAACATTGTATTATATTGGCTGTGGGATAAAACTGTGCCTGAGTCATATAGTTCCCATATTTATTTATATTGTTTTACTTATTTCTGTTTTACATGTATATAGTTAACTTGTACGACTTCTAATGGCTTAAGTATATAGTATATTGTATTGTTGAAGGAACTTTCGACTGTGGATTTGCATTGCCAACAGCGGCACTGTAGCTGTTGTGAATATGGCAATAAAGTCTTAAATATTGCATCTTGGATTTGACTCACCAGTTGATGTAGTTCGCAGCCAGCTGAGGTTCGTGCCGCGAGCCTTCCTCCACCAACAGAGACTGTTTCATCTGTTTGAAGTTTGCCTCAATGTCTTTCTTTATTTCAGAGAAAGCCTGAATTCCTCTGAAAGAGCTCAGGACTAGCTGCAAAAGAACAACAACAAATAGCACAACACTTTTAGTGGAATGCATAACAGGAAAAGCTAGGGGAAAATAAAAGATTTATTCTACATACATATATAACCGAGAGCTGGTGGGCAATGTATTTATGACTTCCAAGGTGTCTGATATCTTCCTCCAGCTGTTGACTCAGCACCAGGAGCTGGTTCAGTTTGGCGATGTGGAAGAAGTATTCTATAAAAGAAACAAAGGCTCACGTTGGCAAAATATGTGGTTTACAAATACAGGTGTAGTGGTGTAATGAGGACGAAACATTGTTATCGTTTCAACTGCAATGTGAACATAAAAGTGAGGAGAGAACATACATTTTCACCTTGATACAACCAGCGATGGCGAAAAAGTTAGTTACTTAAAAAATAGTAATACCACTGCGAAAAATATGAAGTTCTATGTATAATCAGCTTCTAAAAAAATTTTTTTTCCCAAATTGGGATCAATAAAGTACCATCTTATCTCTTATCTTATCTTCTTCCTTCTCTTACCGTCCATCGGAGGCCTCTCCAGCATGTCCACTGGGCTGCCTTGAATGAGAAACACCTCAACACGAGGGAACATCACTGACAGACCCACCATGTCCAGGTAGTCCTGATGAAACAGAAGAACATCCTGATTTCTGGTACAGCATTTCACAGTTACGTTGAATTGCATTCTCATAACATTATAATGGAATAATGTGATGTAAACAATTTCAAGTCATGCCAAAAACGACCTGTTTATATTGACAATGTGAATTAGATACCTCCAGCTGTGGCATAGGCTTTGGTAGATGTTCAAGGCACTGCAGCATCTGGTCAAGAATCTCTGATCCTTGAGCCTGGAAAGTGTCTGACTCCTCTGGACTGCAGCCTTGTCCTAACTGCTCCTGGAACTGTGACATAGATAATATGAAAAATAATGTCACAGACAAAACTGAGGATTTTTCTATACAGGATGTTTTGAAATGCATGAACAGTAGGGAAGACTTCACAATAGACTTTAAATAGTTTGTAAATCTTTATGTGTTGGTACATAATCATGCTAAAGCTAGCAGTGACGTCAAGTCAAATGCTGTGTTTGAATGCTGTCATATATTTCAGAGATTGGAAATGGGATAGACTCACCAGGACATGAAACATATGTAAACAGATACAGGTTTAATGGTTACAGTATGTGTTGTGCATTGGTTGTTGGGTTATTCATTAGGATAAACCCCTTGAGATGAGCAATCTGGCATTCAGAGGGGACATAACGTACAATACAGACAAAGGGAATACAAGGAAATGCAAAGAAACAAGCATCACAAAAAATAAACAATAATTGAAAATGAATTGTAGGTAAAACACAGCTTGATTTGAACCAAAGTTAATAGAATATTATTTTTATTTTGCTTCCTTTCAGCTTCATATGCTTGACTTTTACTTGACAATTAGTCAAAAACTGATACAACTATTGAGAAAGCAGAGGATTTACATGTAAAATGTATCAGCTGTGTGGAAACAATGCATGTATTCTCCAGTGATGTACCTGCTGCATCTGAGCCCTGACGAGGAGGTCCAGCTGCCCGCAGAGACACAGCATCTCCAGGCCCACCTGCTCTGGACTCAGATGGACCGGCATCAGGGGTCTCTTCACCTGTAGCTCCACTGACCACACAGCAGATAAATCACAAGTCTGTCTGACATCTCCTCCCTTTTTCCTTTACTGTTTCATCAATAGACACAAATTCCCAGGGGGCACCCCCACCATCTATTGATGTGTGTGTCACTGTCCTACAGGTCCCAGGGAGGCTGGAGATAAGGACTTTAGGGGAGTGGTCAGTGTGTTGAAATGAGACAGAGCCTGCACTCTTTCAAGATGCAAAGACAACACAAGTAATATGACAACATAACACTGCTGAAACCTGGAATAAAAGGAGCGTGTGATGCTGGGACTTACCTCTAAAAGCTTCATGATAACCGCACGGCTGACAGAGCGGCTCCGTTGTGCTCACTGCCATTTCTGACTTCAACCGGCTGTGAATACCTCAATATTCTCCTAAATGTACCCAGAAGCCATACGAAGCTCGTAAAAGCTAAGTTAACAGCCTAGTTGAGATGTAGAGAATAATAAATAAGGGTCTATTTATCTTATGGCATCTTGACGGAAGTATACAGTATCGCAAGGGGTGCGTTCGCGACTCTAACGTTCATCCGGGTCGAATGAAAGCCGATGGTGTTTCTTCATCCGTAATTCATCGTTTTCCTGCAGGTGTCGATGCTCACACACAGCTGCGATGCAAATAATACATCCTTTATACCCGGAGGATCCATGAAAAATAATAACAGACAATGCCCACGCCCTTTGCAACAACAGCCGTGCAGTAAGACTGTGATTTGCAGTTTTGAACGCCCCCTCAGCCCCCTCCACACACACAGAGCCTTTCTGCATGATGTCATGCTTTAAGGATGGAGACCACAGCATCACTTGGTGAGGATGCAGAGCTGTTCTTTACAGGACTAGAGCCACGATAAATGTTACTGAACCAGGAATAAAACCAAGAATAAAAAGAGCACAAGAAACACACTTTAAAGAAACTGTGAAGTCTGTGTCTTACTCCTATGTAAGAGAGAAGATGGGGCCCTTAGCACATCTGTGCTCAGGTGTCCCATTGTCTCATAATATGGCCATGACTCAAGTAGGCCTACTGTACTTACTTTAAAGGTCCCCCATTATACTTTTTTTCATCAATATATTATAGGTCTCAGATATATACAAAAATGTCTCTGAAGTGTTTGGCTCGAAATACCAAACAGATCATTGTAGCATCCCATAATCCCCTCTGTTTCAGCCCTGTTCCAAAAGTGCTGATTCTCTGTCTGTTACTTTAGATGAAAATAAGCTGCCTCTCCCCGCTGAGATATTTGGTTAAAAATAACCTTTTTCTCCCACGAAAGTCCCTGCTCTCTAGCAGAGACGGAAAAAGGTTCTCATGAACTCATTTTAGTTCCGGCTCTTTTTGGTGTGAACTCGACATTTCGGAACTATATCGGAACTAAAGTGGGAAAAGTACTGCGGTGTGAACGCGCTTAATGGTGCTCTAGGAGGAGATTCAGGGGATAAGGTGGGGGGGGCTACCTTGGTTGGATCTTGGCTAATGGTTACACAAGCCAAAAAATCGTTACGACATCATAAAGTGGCCAAAATCTGATCAGCTCATTATCA